ATTCCCCTTTAATACAGATTATGAAACATGATAGAAAATGGGGTCTGTAATGCTGGACGGCAGGTAAATGGGATTCATGCCCCTTTGTCTTCCAACTTTTCTGTAGGACTTGACTCTGAAAAAAGTCAATGGCCGTGTAAATTATTCATGAGCTCTATCTGGGCTCCCAATCAGCCAACAAGCCCAGGACAAAGGAATGAATAGTCTTTTTTTCCCCTTAGCAAAGTGGCTCATTGACTGCTTACTTCCCAGCCCTTTCTTCTTGGTCTCTGGGCCATGGCAGCCCCAGAGCTTCCAACCAAAGGCAAAGGCACAAACCCTGCTCTTTGCTCTATCTCCAGGGAACTGGGATTCTGTTCCTCCATGAAATGCAAGTGAACACATCTGAGAATCAGGGTCAAACGGAAAAGCACAGAAATGTAACTGGCGTTTCTCCTCTTACGCAAGGCTCTGTTGGCTAAGGGAGAGAAGAAAGTCGAGGAGCCTAAGGTACTTCTAAAGTCCTATTGGACAATGACTTGCCCATGGTACCATCTTTGTAACTTGCTGAAAAATAAAAACCTCCCCTGACAAAAAACAAACAAGCAAATAACCACACCTCTACAGACATACCTCAGAGATATCACAGGTTCAGTTCCAGACTGAACTGTCTGAAATGAGTAAATAATTTTTTTGCTTTCCCAGTGCACATAAAAGTTATGTTTACACTGTACTGTAGTCTATTAATTGTGCAGTAGCATTATGTCTAAAAAAACAATGTACATATCTTAAGTTTAAACTACCTTATTGCTAAAAAATGCTAACCAGCATCTGAGCTTTCAGCAAGTTGTAATCTTTTTGCTGTGGAAGGTCTTGCCTCTATGTTGATGACTATTGACTGATCAGGGTGGTGGTTGCTGAAGGCTGGACTGGCTGTAAAAATTTCTTAAAATAAGACAATAATGGAATTTGCCACAATGATTGACTCGTTCTTTCATGAACCATTTCCCTGGAGCATGTGATGCTATTTGAGAGCATTTTTATCCACAACAGAGCTTCTTTCAAAATTGGAGTCAGTCCTCTCAAACCCTACCCCTGCTTTATCAACTAAGCTTATATCCTATTCTAAATCCTTCGTGTTCATTTCAACAATCTTCACAGCATCTTCACCAGGAGTAGATTCCATCTCAAAAAACCACTTTCTTTGCTCTTGCATAAGAATCAACTCCTCATCCATTCAAGTTTGATTATGAGATCACAGCAATTAGTCCCATCTTCAGGCTCCACTTCTAATTCCAGTTCTCTTGCTATTTCCACCACATCTGCAATGACCTCCTCCACTGAAGTCTTGAAGCCTCAAGGTCATCATCCGTGAGGGTTGGAATCAACTTCTTCCAATTCCTGTTCATGCTGATATTTTGACCTCTCCTCATGAATGTTCTTAATTGCATCTACAATGGTGAATTCTTTCCAGAAGGTTTTCAATTGACTTTGTCCAGAGCTATTAGAGGATTCACTATCCATGGCAGCTGTAGCCTTTATGGAATGTATTTCCTAAATAATAAGAATTGAAAGTCAAAATGACTCCTTGATCCATGGGCTGCTGAATGGATGTTGTGTTCATAGTCAATGAAAACAACATTCATCTCATTGTACATCTCCATCAGAGCTCCTGGGTGACCAGGTGCATTGCTAGAGCAGTAATAGTTTGAAGGGAATTTTTTTCTCTGAGCAGCAAGTCTCAAAAGTAGGTTTAAAATATTCAGTAAATCATGTTGTAAACAGATGTGCTGCCATAGAGGCTTTCTCATTCCATTTATAGAGCACAGTCAGAGTAGATTTGACACAATTCTTAAGGGTCTGAGAATTTTTGGAATGGCCCATGAGCACTGGCTTCAACTTAAAGTCACCAGCTGCACTGGCCCCTAACAAGAGAGTCAGCCTGTCCTTTGAAGCTTTGAAACCAGGCATGAACTTCTCTTCTCTAGCTAGGAAAGTCCTAGATGATATCTTTTTCCCATATAAAGCTGATTTGCCTACACTGAAAATCTGTTGTTTAGTGCAACCTCCCTCATTAATTATCTTAGCTAGATCTTCTGGATAACTTGCTGTAGCTGCTGTTATCAGCATTTGGGGCTTCATCTTGTTCTTTGATGTTTATGGAGATGGCTTCTTTCCTTAAGCCTCATGAACCAACCTCTGCTAGCTTCAAATTTTTCTTCTGCAGCTTCCTCACCTGTCTCAGCCTTCACAGAATTGAAGAGAGTGAGGGCCTTGCTCTGGATTAGGCTTTGGCTTAAGAGAATGTCGTGGCTGGTCTGATGTCTATTCAGACCACTCAAACTTTCTCCATATCGGCATTAAGTCTGTTTTGCTTTCTTATCATTCATGTATTCACTGGACTAGCACTTTTGATTTCCTCCAAGAACTTTTCCTTTGCATTTACAAGTTGGCTGACTGGTGCAAAAAGCCTAGCTTTCACCCTATCTTGTCTTTCAACATGCCTTCCTCACTAAGCTTAATCATTTCTAGCTTTTGATTTAAAGTAAGAGACTTGAACACATAGAGGCCACAGTAGGGTTATTAACTAGACTAACCTCAATATCATTGTGTCTCAGGGAATAGGGAGGCCCAAGGAAGGAGAGAGATGTTGGAATGGCTGGTCAATGGAGAAGTAAGAACACACATATTCGTGGATGAAATTTGTTGTCTCATGTGGGTGCAATTCATGGCACCCCAAAACAATTACAATAGTAACATCAAAGGTCACTGATCACAGATCACCATAACAAATAAAATGACAGTGAAAAAGTTTGAAATATCCCTAGAATTACCAAAATGTGACACAGAGACACAAATTGAGCAAATGCCATTGGAAAAATGGCACTGGCAGACTTACTCAACACAGGGTTGCCGCAACCCTTCAATACACAATGTGCATATATACGTATACATGTACATAAAACACAGTATCTGTGAAGTATAATAAAGCAAAGCACTATAAAATGAGTATCTCTGTATCTGGATAGGTCAGAGGCATCATCCATGAGATCATTTTGGCTCTGATAAGGACCGTCCCAGGACATGTCTGATAAATGAGGCTGTCTGATGTTCCCAAGCTTCTCTCTGTGCTCTCTGGATCAAATTCACACCCTGGGCGACCCAATTGTGCCCTTTACTGTGTGTGAGTTCCAAGGACTCGGTTTTCAAAGGCTTATCCTTAAGACTCTGTTCTCAGGCCAGTAACCTGAATGGAATTAAATTATCCTGTGAAATAAATCCACAGGATAAAAATAGCTTTTGAATCTATCCTAATTAAATGTGTCCCCTTCAAAGTCAACCATATCACTTAGCACCTGCATCTGGCATCCAAGCTGAAGAGTAAATTAAAATAAATTCTCAAAATTGAACCACAGATGCCAAGAATTTAAATAAAATTTCTCAAGATGTGGGCTGATACAGCTTCACAGAAATGACATCAGGTTACAGTGTCCATTCTCCTTATTTCCAGACCAATGAAACAAGCAGAATGAGAAGTGATCAGATCCTACACAGGAGAGCAAGTCAGCTGCCTTGCAGCAATGTAATGTGGTGCTTAAGTAAAGCCTTTAAGGATTCAAGAAAATGAGTTTTCACCTTATTACTTTTCTCCACTGCTATGGTCTGAAGGTTTTATGTCCCTGCCCCCCTGCCCCAGGCGGACCCAAATTCATATGGTGAAATCCTAACCTCCAAAGGTGATGGTATTAGTAATGCGGGGCCTTTAAGAGGTGTTTAGGTGATGAGGGTGGAACCCTCATGAATGAGGGTAGTACCTTTATAAAAGAGGCTCCAGAGAGTTCCCTAACCCCTCTGTCATTTGAGGACACAGAGAAAAGATAGCCTTGACCAGACATCAAATCTGCTGGTGCCCTGATATTAGCCTTCCTGCCTCCAGAACTGTGAGAAATAAATTTCTGTTGTTTATAAGCCACCCAGCCTGTGGTATTTTGTTAAAGCAGCCCAAAAGGACGAAGACACATACTCTGCCTCCTTTTCATGAATTAAAGTTGCCCTATCACCAGAAGGGCAATAAGAAGCCCATTCTTTAGTGGTACTCTAAGTCTGCAAGGCTCTCCTGAGGAGACAGGGTAGCCCAGTGGTTAAAGACATAATTTGAACTGTGGCTTTACTACTAGTTGACAGTGTGGTTATTAAGCCTTTCTAAGGCTCAGTTATTCATCTAAATAACACAAATAAGATTACTGTTATATAATAATAGTGCTAGGAGGATCGGGGAGAAATGCAGGTAAAGAGCTGGCTGTCACAATGCTCCATGTAGCCCTTGCTGCCCTTGTTAATATTCTTCTTTGGATTTACAACAGAAGTCCCTGCCAAGTAGTGAAGTCATCATTCTTGAAAATTAAATGTGAGGAAGGCTCTCTCTGGGGCAAACAGAGCAGGGATGGACGGATGGACGGATGGACGGATGGATGGATGGATGGACGGACGGACGGACGGATGGATGGACGGATAAGCCACGGACAGGAGAACAAAAGCGAGCCCATAGCCCAGAATCTGACGCTACCACCAGGAAGACCTCTGAACTCCCTCCACCATCAGACACTGAGCCAGCAACCCCCACCAATCCTGCACTGGGCAGGATGCTGCGGCAGGAACAATTCCATGCTGGAGCTGCCACAACAGAGGGTCTGGTCAAGCAGGCTCAAAGCACAGGCCACCGAAAGCCACAGTGGCAGCTCCGTAGCTGAATGATGACTGGAGATTGCTGGTTATGTCCAAGCAGAGGACTCCTGCTGCTGGTATCCAGCCTGGCTCGGAGCTCTGCACCCCCTCCTCTGCAGACCACACAGGGGCAATTCCAGTTTGCAGATAATGGGGAACACTACGTTATTCATTTATTCTAATGGACACTCACACCTTTGTGAATTTAATTCTAAAAAGATTTCAGTTGATTACCAAGACGAATGCAAGGTGAAGCCAGGAGGGCAAACGGGACGAATCAGGAGACCAAAACTCACCTATAGATGATTCCTTTCTCGTGTAGGAACATGAGTGCCGAAATGATTTCTGCGGCATAGAAACGAGCTCGTGCTTCTTCAAAACGACGAGACTTCTGAATGTGAAACATCAAGTCGCCCCCATTCACAAACTCCATCACAAAAAACAGACGATCCTGGATAGAAACACAAGAGAGGATCCAGTGTGGTGTGGCCATTAGCCTAGAGTTGGGTCAACAGTGCTTGCTTTGGCAGCACATATAGAGTTGGGTCAACAGACTTTGGTTCTCACTGCAGCTCTGCACCTTAAACACCGTGTAACCTCGAGCTTCATTTTTTTTGGACGTTCGCCATGAGTAAAGTGAGAACGATGATGCAATCCCTAGCTGAATCATTGGGTTTGGGAAAGTGGAGGAGAACAACATAAATGGAAAGGTACATGCCTTTCCTCTGGAACATGCGGGGTTAAGCACGTTCACAGGACGCAAGGGACATCTAACAGGTCCTCACACATGGGCAGGGGACACTCAAAGAGAAGGGAAAACGTTTTAGACAAGTCTGCCCAACAGCAGTCTAATGACAGCCTCCTCAGAGTGGCCTCAACATTAGAAATTCCATTCAGCCCAACAGAAAATTCCCGAGTCAGGAGTGGAAACGTGCAGACTAGCGCGATGCTATCTCCACTTGGAAGGAGCGCTCAACCCTGCAGGTGAAATGGGCTCTTAAGGGCGCCTGGGTGGCTCAGCCTGTAAGTGGCTGCCTTCAGCTCAGGTCATGATCCTGGTGTCCTGGATCAAATCCTGCATCGGCTCCCTGCTCAGCAGGGAATCTGCTTCTCCCTCTACCCCTCCCCCCGTTCACGAGCTCTCCTCTCTCTCTCATGCACTCTTGCTCTCTCTCAAATAAAATTTAAAAAAAAAGAGAGAGAGAAATGGGCTCTTAAGATTCCCCATGCAGTGTGCTAAGTACTGAGCAAGTGGTGTGAAAAAAGTGCTTTTATTAAGACTTTAATAAAAGAAATGTGAAGTTTCCATGAAAAAGTGACGTCTCCCAGATGGACAGTATAAAGTGCTATGTTTCAGGAACCCCTAAGATCAATGGATTTCCTGACTCCCTCCACTAACATTTATGAAGTCCACGGCTAGCCTGGTGCCAAATGAGGTGCTGGGGATCAAACAGAGAGGAGAAAGGGCATAAAACAGATATGACTTCTACCCACATAGTCTGGTGTGGGAGACACACATTATTTTAAAAACAGAACAAAACAAAACACAACAAGGAGTTATATACACAGGTAAATATACAAATTCCGGTAAATCCTGTAAAGGAAAAGTGGAGGAAGCAGGGACATCTGGTCATCTGCCTGGGGGTCCGTGGAGGTCTCTCCAAGCAAGGGACATGCAAGCTAAGGCCTACAGGATCACCCCACAGGGCCAGCCATCATCCTTTTGGGGGTAGGAGGGTGGGAGGTCATTTGGTAAGCAAGTTGGTATTTGCCAATACTCAAAGGACATGTACTCAGAACTCATCTCTCCTTGTGGTTTTAAGCCCTCCGGTTTTGCTCAGTGTTACCACACGTCCACAGCCAAGCAGTGGACAGAGGCCATGTGTGCTCTTGCTCATGCTCCGAGTCACCTCTGGTTTCATCAGGTCTTCCCAGTCAGAAGACAGAACTCATGACTCTCTATTCCTGATTTTCAGTAAGACCTTAATTTGAAGGGAAAAAAATCCCCTGGCTCTATGAAACTTCTCTCTGTTCATGAGAAGCATGAAGGTAAGAGTAAAAATAGAACGGCAAAATTCACACACATGAAGACAAAAACCAAACACTAACAAAACAACTCTTCACATTGGCCGATCTAAGCCAACTGAAAGCTCAACACAGTAAGCCATCGGACTGAGCCGATGGCCTTCATCTGGGTGTGACGGGCGAGCGGAGCGGCCAACCTGGGAGGGACGAGCTCTGAGGAGCAATGGTGTTCTTTCTCTTCTCTATGGGAAGGACTCTCGTGGAAAGAGCAGGTCAGTGGTGGAGTGGAATGGAGGGTAAGCATGCGACCAAGACTCGTCTAAGAGCTGCATCCGCTCGGGCAGGTGTGACGCCGATGCTGTGTTCATTTGGAGGGGGTGGCCAAGGGGGACCTGATGAAGACTCAGGTGGTAAAGCCACCCAAACCACCCCTCAACAAGCTGGTCAGCCTTGCACATTTTTGTTAACCGGCCCGTTCGCCTTCCTCATGGCTGGAACTGGCAGTCACATGAATTACAAGAGCTCGAAATACCTGATGACGGCAACTGGGTCAGTAGGTAAGTGGCTATTCCTTAGGCTGCTGGATGTCAGTGTACCTGGCAAGAGCCTCTAAGGCAGTAGGCATCAAGAGAGATGAAGGCATTGTAAGGGCAATTTCATCCATTTCTAGTTCCCCCCAAATCATTCTCATGTCTCAAGCCTGAAAAGCCAGGACAGGGGCTGAATTCCAAATCTAGGGGAGGAGATACTGCCTTCTTGTCTCACTCTTTCATCTGTTTCTCGGCCCAGCGCTGGAGGGAGTTTCTCAGAAAATGCAGGAGGGCCAGAGGGGCACAGCAACCTGTGATGTGCGGCAAAGTCATAAGCCTTAGAACTGAGAAACCAGGGGTTTCTTTCCATTCAGACTTGCACTTCGAACCTCCTGTCTGGCACCACCTAGAACAACTCTCACCCCCCAGACTACATACAACTCTTGAAGCAAGCAGGAAGGGGAAACAAGCCAGCCAGATGTAATAATGACAGCACAAAGTAATGGTCCATGCTATCAAAGACCTAAATTAACATCACAAGGGAGATAAAAATAGGTTCATCAACTTGCCAAATGTTTTTGCTGAGAGGACACCCTCTTTTTACAGCCCCTCTCTTCACCCTATCCATGGCCTCTTGGAGGCCTGAAGTAACCAGGCCCCATCAGGCTTGTGGGGATAACATCCCAAATGAGATACAATTGCCTCTGGTTTGGGTCCCAGGGCTCCACAGGTGGCAGCGACGGGGCTTGGCTTGAAAAAGACTCCAGGGAGTGTTGGACATGCCGCATGTGCTAAAACAACATCCGCGACAAAAACAAATCAGTCGGCTAAATGCTCCTGCTATGGAATGAATTCCAGCAACCTGAAGGAAATCCGTATTTCGTGAGTGCCCCTTACAAAGCAGAGACGTATATTTGAAGTTCTGACAGGAGGTAGAAGTGAATCTCCTACCTACAACTCCACTCTGTGCTGTTGAAGAACGAGTCTCCCTGATTGCCTGAGGAACACTAAGTTATGCTTCACAAACTCAACTGTGAAGCAAGGCGAGGAAGCATCTGTTGGGACCCCCGAGTTGAGGAAGGCATTGCATAATGGGGCAGGAAAGAGGTTCCAGATCCCAGCCGAGGCAGAGATTACAAAGACAACGGTTTCTGTGTTTAAGCCTGTGTAGATAGCCACTCCAGCTTTTCTGAAGTCCAGTTTCCTAGAAACTAAGTCTGGATACCTGCAGAGCTTTCCCTGAGGCCTCTGGCTCTACTAAGGTAAATTTTGCCCCAACCTGCACAGTAAGAAACCCAAGGTCCCGGGAGACCAGTTTAACCTCAGTTCTAAAGCCAAGAGGCCCAGCCCTTTGTCTGTCCCTTGCTCCTCCTTTGCCCCCCATTCAACCAACCACAATTGCAAGTCATTAACGGGAGTGAGGGACACCTGGGGGAATAAAAGCAACTCAGAAACCCCTTTGTCCCAGGCCTCCGTGTGGATTACAGGAGGCCAAGGAGCTGCTGCCTGGTTAATAATAGAATTCCTGTCATCCCCTGCCTCACTGCATTAACCCACTGTAGCCTGGGCCAAGTCAGTCCTGGCTATCAGCTCAGACCTGCTACTTCTCCAGGTCAAGGGGGATAAAAATATCCCCTGTACTGATAGTGGCTCTTGGTACAAGCAGTGTGCATGCCCTAAAGCCCCTCAGGAAGATTGCTCTTTAAGAATTAAAACTGATGAGCAATTGCATCAAGAAAAGTTTGAGACAAAAGGCTTGGGTTGATGAAAGTGACACACCAAGGTGGGACCTGCAACGAGGTGACGTCACCTAGGGAGAGTGACTGCAGAGGAACCAGGGAGGAGGTCCTTCAGGGTCACTGTGGTGGGCACCTTTGGGGGTGTCTGTTCAGCTCACTAATCGCTTTCTCAGAGAACTTCCCTGGCGTAGTCACATGGGGAAATGCTGGACATCCTGCAAACAGCTAGTGGGGACCACGCTGGCCACTCTCTTCCCCAGAAAATTGGAACTGAGATGGAGAGGTTTTGATTTAGGCTGTGCGGGGTGCAGGAAGAGAGGAAACATGAATTAGGAAGCTGAGGCTACCTTTGTGGTGAGACCATGGGAAATGCCTTGTAAAACAGAGTCCTGAAAGTATAGCTGGAGGGATGGATGGACGGACAGAAGGACGAGAGAGAAAAAAATGAAGCAGAAACATATGGTGAGGCAGAGACAAGAGATGAGGGAGCATGTGGGCACCAAGAAAGTAGCTCCCTGGGTTCCTCCTGCCTTTCCAGTTTCAGATCCCTAAAGAGAGCTGGACGATTTTGGCCCCCAGCTTCCACGAAACACCCCGCCCTGTATCTCTGGATCTTTATTTTCACTTCTCCCTTTTTTGCATGACCTTGGTTAAGTTGCTTTCTGTTACTTGCTCCCAGGAGAATTTTAACTGAAACACACACCAATTCTTAAGGGGCGGGAGGTTTACTTACTTATAAATCTGGGATAACCACACCTATGACTGCAGTGATCCAGTGAGGATTAAACCAAAAGCAAAGTGCCTCATAAGAGTCAGGCCCAGAAGAGTCTCCACAAACAAACAATTGTTATTATTCCATCATGTGAAGGGGCTAAAGTTTATTCTAGGAGACCTTGTGCCCAGCACCCAAGTCCCTGGTGTCACCAGCTCGCTCTCTCACACTCTCTCTCTCTCTCGCTCTTTCGAAATGCTCATCTGCAAATCGGGGATAATAAGATGACTGAACTCCCAGGTGCGTGAGGATTACATGATTTAAGCTAAGAGTTTCTAACAGTGCCAGGCACACAGCGAGGATTCAGTAAGCGTAAGCCAATATCATCCTCGCCACCGCTACCACCTCCACTCTGGCTTCGGCCACCACAGGCTGGCTGCTCCTG